AATGTATTTTAATAACTTTGTGATGATGGTAAGGATTTTAAATAGTACTTATTCCTTCTTCTAAGAGAAATAGGCATTGATCATCTCTATAGTTAATGATGGTGCAGTTATTTCTCTCTTTGAGAACACTCTATACTCTGCCATAGTTGCTCCTGGTTTTAGGAACGGTTTGTTGCTTTCAAAGTTTTCAAATCAGTTAAGAGATTTCACTTTCAAAGATTCTCACTTTGGAGGAATGCCCCTTTGAGGATTTCCTCACAGAAAGAGGTGTCTGCTTTGAAGATTTTCATTTCTTAAAAAAACAGTCACATTTCTGGGGTGTCCTCTTTGAAGACATTTTTCTGTAACACTTAAAAGGTTTCCATTTTAAATATCTTTTGCCACCATGGATAGCATCCACTTGGAAATATTTTTCCTCTATGATATTCTTTTTGATAATTTACACAATCTTGTAGGAGCCCATAAAATAATCCCTATCAAAAAAGCTCAGGAACATAATGCTATTCCTACATAAGGTGCAAAAGCATTTGGAAGAACTTCTGAAGGATGAGATGTTGCCAGAATCCAGTTTTGGAAAAACTGTAGAAAAAAAAATCCATTTTATAACATCAAAGAGTAAAGTGGAAAGGTGAGCTCATCTGTCACTTATATGGCCTTTTAAAAATTACTGTGAGATACTTTTTACTCCTTTTAAATCATTTAAGTTCAGAGTTCAAATTCTGGTATTCCTGAAATCAATAGCAAAAGTCCCATTTCAGTCCAGCTGTGCAAAGAACATTCTTTGAAATTGCTATGAGTTTTCTTTATTTGTTTGAGAATGTATTGCTTTAATTTACTACTGTGCTATTGGGGATTTGGAATCTTTTCCTTGCTGGTGTTGAGGTTTTTCAAAAGAGTTGTATTGTCCATTACTTTTTTTGTCACCTTTTTAGTAATCATGTTTGTAATTATCATGTTTGTAAAACTAGACAACCTCAGACTTTGTTCAAGACTGGGCTCACTGTGTATGTTTTTAAGTATTCTGTCTGATGTTGGTCTGTGAGTCAGATAGAAGGCAAGTCAAAATACACCTTAGTACACCCTTCAGTTTCCATCTAAGTCCAGTTTGGGGATATTGACTCAGGCTGTAGCTGAAATTTCTGGCCTGTGCTTGCTCCTGTCTGCAAGGCACAGAGCAGGAAAGGCTCTCAGACTGCAAATGAGCAGCTGGAGGCAGGAGGGCTGGGTGCTTGGCAGCTCTTCTCTGATAAAAATGATTGTGCATCTGTCTAGATTGCCTCAGTGCAAAGTCAAACCAGATGAGTTTAGATCACCTGCAGCAGTGGATCTACTTGATTTTGCACTGGAACAGAAGAAAAGTCCCCCCTGCAAAAGCAGGCATATCAGATGAGGGGTTAATGTTTGCCACCTCTCAGCTACTAGTCACTGCCTACTTGCTGAGACATCATGCCAGACTGGACACCAATTTGCACAAACAGCTTGCCAGGGCATCACTGGACTAAATGCTTGCGCTCAGTTAAGTTAGCCATGCCCTTATAAGAGTATCATTCACTAAAATTTAGGCAGCATCCCTTCAGCTTAAAAATAAAAATCATCTTGGAAGTCCCTAAATCTCTACCTTGTCTGATCCTCAAATGGAGAACCTTTGTTACCTGAAATACTGGTTGGCAAAAGCTATTGTAGTAATGAAGGAGTCTCTGAGAATTAAATCTCTTCTGGTTGTGGGTCTTTCATGTAACCCACACATGATTTAAGAAGTACAGTGCTTAGAGATTTTTTAGTGGGTTTTGTGAGAGCCTGGTAGGTGGGAAAGCTGTGCTGTCTGCAATGTAAAGATCCAGGCTGGTAAAAGCACCATCCTTAGAGAGCAGTCCTCATCAATATTGGTCAACCATATCGTGGTCAGGGGACAACTAGGTTCTCACTACCCATTAAGTGACCTTATTATGTACTTGGAGAGCAATCATGGCTTTGGTGCTGGAATATTTCGACTGTGCCTTGTAGAGCGTCAGACCAGCACTTAGATATCTATATGTGACAAGAGAAAGATCCTTACATTTTTTTGGGTCAAGAAGCAAAGAACTTCCACCCTTTGTTTCATAACCTCAAAAAGCATCTTTACATTCAGAAAAAAAAACACAACCAAACCAACAATTCACTTCTTTTCCCTATCAGAAAACAGCACTCTTCCCAGAGCTGCAGCCATGGGTGTACTCGACCCACATCATGATCGTCAATCCACCACCAATCAGCTAAGACAAAAAACAAGAAAACCCTATAGAATAAAAGATGTTTGCAATCACCAACGGCATATAATGTTTGTAATAAAACGTAAAACTGATCTCCAGTCCTGAAGAAAGTAAACGTACATGTATTTAATCACAGTAATAGAAAAAGGGGAATTTGCTATGAAAAATAAATTTCCAGGTGGATATGGTACAAGCAAGAGAGGGAAAGTAGGCAGACAGATTCTAATCTCAGTGTCAAAAATAGGCCTTTGAGCCCATACGAACATTCACGGAAGTCCAGTATAAGCTATGTCACATGTTTCAGTGTTGGATACAGTAGAGAGCAGTTATACTCCCAGCCTGCCCAAGATAAGCTGTCTTTCTAGCAAGGATGCTAGAAATAAAATGCTGGAGAGCAGCCTGTGGGATTCAGACCAGCAAGATGAGTTCTGACCTGAACTTGAAAAAGAGATGTTTATTTAGGGCACTGTGCTTGTAAGAACTACACAATAGCTTCAAAACTTTGATTAAGAAAACAAAGTAAATCAATATAGACTGCTGAGAAGAAATGTTGATTAAGGACATTGTTTACAGGAGCACAAAAAGATGAATAGCTGCTAATAAATGTAGGGATTTTGCTCAAAGGCATCTGGGGAATTTATGAAGATGATAAGGCCTGGGTTAAGATAGAATAATGTGGTTTAATATAACAAAGACTGGTAAACCGAATGATCAACCTTTCCCATAATATGCAGAGGATCTGTTGTTTTAAGCAATGCCATTTAATGACACTACTGTTAACAATATGGGGAAACTAAATAGACAGGGCTATTTAGTTTGGAGATAGGGAAAAATGGATACTCTGTAAGTGCATCTAATAGAAGTATGATATTCATTGAAGGAGTCACTAAGTTTGAGTTTTCATGTAGTCTGATTGAAACAATATAATTAAAAAAAAAGGATTTGTTAAAATTCTCTGCCCAAGGCTCTCAAGAGAAACTAAGGTGATGCAGTATTAACATGTGTATTATTTGATATATTAATAAATTGTTAATTATTAATTATTAATACTACATTATTAAAAGATAATAAATGAAGGACAAGAAAAACGAATATTTTTTTCACAGTAGAGGGAGGTCAGTGGTAGAGTACAACAGGGACCTGTGCTGTTCAGCATATTCTTAAATGATCTGGAAAAAAGAGTGATTATTGAGGTGACCAAGGTTTGCTGATGACGCTGAATTATTCATGGTAATAAAAACAAAAGCTGACCATGAAGAATTGTGGAAAGCTCTCATGATACTGTGTGACTGAATGATGAAATGGCAAGTTGAATTCTGTGCTGAAAAATGGAAGTAATATTCAAGGGAGAAAACAAGCCAAAATATATATGCAAAGTCCTGGAAACTAAATGAATGGGTTCCACACAGCAAAGAGTGCTTGAGTTGGGGGGTGTGTGAAAACACCAGCTCATGGCTGTGTAGCATTCAAACATGCAAATGAGATTGGTATTATCAGAAGAGAAAAAGAATATAAAACCAGAAAGCACTTATTATGCACCTATATAAAGCCATTGGATTTGTAACTTGAATAACGAGGACCATTATGTTCTTCTAGAATAGAATTAGGAAAGGTTTATAAAAAGGCAAAACAAATTATTGAAAAGAAATGGAATGGATGAATTCTAATAGGGAAGACAGTAAATCTACTAGGACTTCAGAAATAGAACTGAATGAATGAGCTGAAGGTATATGATGAAGGTATATGCATTCATGAATGGCATGTTTAGGTAAACAGGGAAAATTATCTATCTATAGAAGAAAAGAAATAGTGGACATCAAAGGAAATTATTAGGCAGTGGGCCTGACACAAACAAAAGAGAATATTTCTCACACAGAGATTTCCAAAATTGCATAATTTGTTGCCCTGGAATGCTGCAGATATCAAAAAGTACTCAGGCACATTCTTGGACAAGATATTCTCTCAGAATGTGAATGCTGGTTTTTTTTTTTCCCTAGTAGCTCCAGAGATTCAATTTGGGACAACATATAGCAGAAATTATCTTTGTGTGCTTTCTAGTTCCTAAAACCTTTCACTAAGCATTCATCATTAACTACTCATAATGCTACTGAACTACACAGCTATTAGCTGTTCTTGAAATATAAAGCAAAGTGAAAGATCTAAGTGTATCAATGATCAAAGAAAACTATTTTGGAAAACAAAATATTATTGCAGCAGTAAGATTACTAGGATTTCAGAAGAAAACTTTTGGAACTTTTGTACAGCCTATAGCAGTATCTACACTTAAATTTTGGTTATAATAAAATGGATTGGGGATTTATGCCCTCGTGTTTTGTAATGTAACGATTGAATGTGGAGGCTTTGGTTGAGGTGTTTTACTGAATGATTGTCTCTCACTGGATATTTCAGCTGCCTTCTGAAATATCTGATGCAGGACTTCAGTAGAAAGTTGTCAGATCCTAAGGACAAGGGGGTGTTTTTTGGCAGCAATTTTTTTCTGACCTTCTAAAACATTAGAAAAACAAAGCTAAGACGTACTCTAGCAACAGAGAAAACAGATGACTAAGTCATTATTTGTGCTATCACAATGTCCCAAATATGGCAGACATTTCATCAGGCACCCAAAAGCATACTAAAAATGATCTAATAGTGTAAAAAGGCAAAGCTACTTGAAGAGGAAAGTGGAATACCACATTGCACAAACAACTGTGCAAGAGAGTGTCATGGTATTTTATTAATAATACACTGAATGTTGGTATCTTTTTGTTTCCCTTCTAAAATTTAATGCTCTAGATTAGGATTATGGTTTGGGTAAAATCCTGATTGATTAATTATCACTTTATTAATGGTTGGGGGGGGAGAGGCAGAAATTTTCTCTATGAAGTCACATCCATTATTTCAAACTCATTATTTCAAAATTTGCAAACTCAGTTCCAGTGTCTCTTGTGCTATAAACACTCAACAGCAGCTCCTCAGTCTCCCTTATATGGAAGAGCATCTAACTCAGGGGATAAACTGAATGAGAATTAGCTCACTTAATTAGATAGATTCTGGAAGGTGTCATGAAAGAAGAAGAAAACAGGAATGTTACAGAAGAGAAGATCAGGTTTGAAGATGGCATTACTATAACGGCAATGGAGGTAAGCAAGTCAGGCAGTGAGACAGAGAAGTCAAATGGAAAGACACCTTTTCTACTAATTACTAAGAAGTAGAAGGATTAGTATTTTTACCAATATAAAACTGAGCTATTTTCCACCTAGTAAACTGATTGCTGCAGAGAATTAGAATGACTTTTCCAGAACAGAACAACAAAAAGTCACAGAGTAGAATGAGAATTTGTATGTACTCCTAATTGTTAAGGCAGTTATTAAGCTATTCATGAGGTCAGTGTAGAGAAGGATACAGGGGTATTAAACCATCCTGAAAATTTTCTAGTTATGGAGGTATGCATAGTTTTTTTGTTCCTAAATTCTTTATCAGCTTCATTTCAATAGTTTCAGTGACAGACTCCAAGGGACTTACAGTAACCTGAAAAAATTAAAGTGTAATCAAGTAAGGGACTACCTCCTCAAAACGTATTTTTGAAAACAGTATTACCAGATCAAAATATAAAAATCATAGAAGACGTTTTGAATACTTTTTTACTATTCTTCTGTTTTTAGGATCTTATAGGAACATTTGGATCACATTTTCAAATTTTCTTTCACAGGTATAAAACCTTTAGTTCGACTTTTTGTTTGAATGCAATCCAGGACTGTCTCACGCACAGCTCTTTCTAGAAACTCTGTATCAAGCATTTTAAGATTTGTGATGAAACATTGAGACTTGCCCAAAAATAAGGGGGAGAAATAGTGTATTTCCTAATGGCCTGCCAGAGCAAATAGTTTGTACCGTGACTTGATAGTTTACAGAAAACCACGGGGACACGGATTTCTGTGAGGAAACAACCCAGCTCACTGCAATGGTTGATTTGCAAGCTCATTTTAATTATTTTTTAAATAGCATTAGTGATCAGCCGTATAGCCGCCAAGCTGTTTCCCTGTCAGGGACTGCGTAGCCAAGGGTACCGATCGATGGGGACAGGGTTCCCTGTCGAGGGGCGGGGTGCGCGGGGCTGCCCGGGCCCTCTGAACGTTTTCCCTGAGGACACGGGGCCGGATCCCGGCGCTGGGGAACGCTGCCAACAAGCGGGGAAACTCTTCATGCAACAAGTGGGGCCTGGCGGCTCAGCCGCGGTCCCGATCGCGAACGAGCATGGGCTGAGCAGAGGAGGGGGCCCAGCAGCCTGGGCACTGTCGTGTGTCCCCCCCACCCCGAAGTTCCGAAGCGGGACGCCGGGGCAGGAGGAGCAGTAGCCGCCCCTCGGGATCCCGGTGCCGGACCCAGGTTGCGAGTGCCGTGCCCGGATTGCGTGTGGCGGACCGGCGGTGTGCGGAACGGACTCCCCGCCCCGTCCCCGCCCTGGGCGGGGCAGGTTCGCACCGCCCCGCAACCCGGCTCGGACCGGGCGGCTGAGGGCAAGAAGCTTCACCGGTGCGCAGGGCGCATGCGCGAGCGGTCGGCGCGTGCGCGGTAGCGGTGGCGGACGCGAAGCGGAGCCCGGCACTCGGCAACGCTCGGCGGATCCCGTGCAGGCCAGGCCGCCATTTTCTCGCAGCTTCCCGGTGCGCGGCTCCCGTCCCGTGCCCGCGCTCTGTCCTGCTCGGCGATGGACGGGTGAGTGCGGGCCGGGCGCTGGGGGGAAGGGCTGCCGCGCCGCTGCCGCCGGCCCGTGGTGGGACCTGTCCCGGCGCCTCTTTGGCTGACGGCGGTCGCCTCTGAGGGTGTGGGGAGCGGCGGGCTGCCCGCCGGGGGACGCCTGGAGCCTGAGGTCCCCGTGCAGGCTGGAAGGGGGCAGGACGGGGCTCAGCCGCTCCGTGACCCACCGGTAGGATCCCCCGTTGGAGTGGCCGGGGGATTTGGGCCGCCCCCTGCTCAGTGCAGTGCCCGATACGGCGCGTATCGACCTGAGGAGGGAGCGCGATGTGGCCCCCCCCCCCGGAGCCTCTCGCTCCCTCCTGCTCCCCCCTGTGTGCCGAGTCTCCCCCCGGCCGGGGGTGAGGAGGGGCACGCTGCGGGCTCGGGTTTGTTTTGGAGCTGGCTGGAGGGGAGGAGCGATACCAGCAGGAGCCAGATGTCGAGCTCTTTTGTTTTCAGAAACTGCCTAATAAGCCCTTTGGCTTCCCCCCTTCCCAGGTAGAAAGATGTCTTTGTATATGCTGCGGACTGGTTGTAAAAGCCAAAGAAGGAAAGGTTGGAAGGAGTCGACCATGCGGGACAGCGAGGGCTAGGATGAGCAGGCACCACACACGAGGCCTGCTTTTTGTTGAATTTGGAAAATGGGGCTGCTGGTTGTAGCCCTCGTCAGTGTAAATACAGCAGCTTCCAGCTCCCACATTTCCTATTAAGTTGTTTACTCTACTTCAAACAGAGAAGCCATCTCTTTGGTATGCTTAAAACATATAACCTTTCAACTGTGAGAGTTCTTAAGGCTTTTTATGGTTAGTTGTGGTTATAATGTTAGGTTTTACAAATCCTGTTTGAGAAGTCTTGTCACTAATGAGTACTACATGCTGGAATGCTTTCACATACTCGTGTTTTCTTTTTCCTTTTTTTTTTTTTTTCGTGTGGGTTTACATTTCTTTTGGGATTGTGTTACACACTGAGTGATGATGTCACAACCTCTAAGAAAAAGGTGGACCTTGACATACCTGTTGCAGCGTTTTGTATAGGTGTACCTCATTAAATTTCATATAAGTGTAACTGCCAATGTGTTCCTTTTTTTCCCACCTAATTTAAAAAAAAAAAAAAAGTTTTCGTTGCTTTCTGCTTTAAGAAGATCTCTAGGGCAGGCTGTGTTGCTGAATTAGCTGTCTGGTTAGCAGAGATGTTTGAGAAGAGTTCTGTACCTGCTTTTAAATTATTTTATTTCCACCCTCTGGTCCACATGTAGTCCTGAGACCCGAGTTTCCTAAATAAGTTTCCTAACAGTGCTGCATTGGAGTGACGTTTACTTGAAACTTTGTACTATTTTGGAGAAGCCTGTAGTCTGGGGGAGCTCAGTGGCTTTTGTAGGTTTCTCTGTAACTTCCCCTCAGTCCTGCTGTGTTCTTGGAACGTAGTTTCTTGATCGGGAAAGTTGTTGGCTATTTGTTTCCTCATTATTGTGTCATTGCAATACACTGAGAAGTTGAAATTGAGGATAAATTCGTTAACTTGTGTTCTTGTTTGTTTGTTTTTTTTTACAGCATTGTCACTGATGTTGCAGTTGGTGTTAAGGTAGGATGTACACTTAATAAATAAGGGGGCAAACTGTTGATACAAAGTTAACTACTTTAAGCATCAGTAATTGCAAATTTGAAGATTTTAGCTAGTCATTGTGAGCTGATATCCGGTCAGCAATATATGCTTTAATAATCAAAAATCCCCAGGGGTAAATTGGAGGCTCTACATAAAAGACCTTTCTAGGCACTGAACTGTAAACAGTGATTCTAGATTAATGTAGTGGTGTCAGCTTCTTATTTTAAAGTTTAGTTTTGCATATTTTTTTCAAACAACATCTTCTCATTGTTGCATGGTGCCTGTAAAAGTCGTGTTTTCTTCTCTCCCTCCCCCTCCTTTTTTCAAAACAGTTACCGCTGAAGTTAAAAAAGAAGTGACTGCCTATAATAGGACTCAAAAATATGGGAGGTAGAATTTGTTATGTAGACACAGAAGTGGGTGTTTGCTTTGCTTTACTTTTTATTTCTCAAGTTTGGTTATGAACTTATCTTTTTTTTTAATAGCAAGGAAAAGGCTTCCAAAGGGTTGTAAATTTACTACTTACTTCACTTTTTATTCAAATCTGTCTCAGGAGTTAGATATGTACTTCATAGGAGCAGACTGAGAAATTATGAGAAAGCAAAGATATATGGGGAAAGGGAACTTTAATGAATGCTTGTGAGCATTTCTTTCAGTGGTAGGAACATAAAAGTTTTATAGTGCCTACAGTTGACTCTTCACATGTGGTCAGGGACTTCTTAGCTTGTGCTACATACCTGCCTTTTCATCCGAATCTGATCTGTATAAACTGCTTGCTGAGGCAGGCTTTGTTTAGTAAGGCTCAGTTGCTCGGATTCAGTGTCAGTCCTTCTGGGTTTGGACTAGTTCTCACATAATACAGCAGCTGTCCTGTCAGACGTTCCTGTATTATGTTCCTGAGCAGGCTTGCTTCTAGGAAGAGCTATAAGAGGTCAGTTATATGGATTCTGGACCCATCTGGCTCCATATGTTCATGCAGTGTTAGAGAGAGGCTTAAAATCACTCTCTGAGTCGTGAGTCAAGTGTAGTTATTAAAGCACTTCTGTGGGAGCTAATCACAATAGAAATACGAACTGGCATGATTATTTCTTTGTTGCCTGGAAGGACTGTTTAAAATTTAAGAATGCATTTAGTTGTTTGGAGGAATACCTAAGGAAGTTCCAAGAGTTCCAAGTTTTTTTGAAGTAAACTAATCATTTGCTTTGAGGCAAAAAAAAATAAAACCATAAATTGCCCTCAGACGTGTCTAGTGAAGAAGCAGTTTCAGGTAAATCATGTATTACTTGAACCTTGGATTCTGACATTCTCACTTCAGGACAAGTAAATGTATTCAGTATCCCTTTCATTCTTTACTGTGAGCAACTTGAGTGTTTATGAGAATTTGAGTGTTATGAAATATGTTGCAATTTTGGAACCATATTTTCAGATACTGGCCAGACAATGAAATGAACACACTTCAGAGGACATAACTGCTTATTTCTGTTGATTATAGAAGTTAATGTTATGAGATTACAGAAGTTAATGAGATTATAGAAGTATATTATGAGATTATAGAAGTTATATATGAATATAAGAAAGAAGGCAAGCTAGGTGTAATGAAGGCAGTAATTAAAATATATACAAGGAAAGGCACAGAAGTGTCAAAAAGTTGTGTTCTTTGCCTTGTAAAAATATAGTCTTGCTGTTCAGATTTTAAAAGAGAATAATCTGTACATGGAAGTAGCAGGAGTAAATAAGGACAACGATTTTCTGAAAAAAGCTGTTAAATATGGGAGGAGTAAACTGGATTGTGTTCTGGAGCTTCTGTAATTATCTCAAGATACTTACAATGGAAAATGGAATTTCTTTCTAATGAAGTATGCAGTGTGGGTAGCAGTCTTAATGCCATCTTCATTCATGTTTTGTGGAAGTCCATGTGAAACGTTTTTCCTTTTTGTTCTCTAGTGACTGTCCACTGCTCTTGATCCACTGATGTTTTGAAGTTGAGGAATGCTTTACTATAGGTGTATATAAACACCTGGGATCATTCATCCTGCCTTTCCTTGGCTGTTATCTTTTCTTTGGGGTGCTATGGAAGTGTGTAGGGATTAAGTTTTGAATCCAAGGAATTGCATCAGCAGTTTTAATGCTATTCCAATGCTGTTTTTATTGTGACTGGATAGCCATTGGAGGTGGGCAGGAATTTACCTGTGTGAAGTCAACTTATCCAGGATATTAGTTTAAACCAATGCTTTCTTGAGATTTTTCACCTACAGTATATATGCTGGTCATTTATGCAACATGTTGTGATATATTCAGTTATACTTAGATAAACAACTTGTGATATAAGACTCTTCTGTCTGGAAAATTTGCTTTATTTTATCATCAGTCATGTCAATACAAATTTGAAAATTATATAAACTATTGTCTATCTGGTTTCTCTCTTAAACAGAAAAGTGAGCATGTTACTTATATTTTTAAACCCATTGGTAAAAGAGTAACAGGAGTTAACTATTGTAGTCTGGGTATTGTTTTTCAATTAAAAGAGGGCTTTTGAGCTTTGAGGACTTCATATGGGCAAGGCAGGTATAAAGTAGAAGGAATGCTTGCTTATAATGTTTTATTAACAGTTTTATAGTCTGAGTTACCTGCAAGTGAGGCTGATAAATTTGAAGCTATTGCCATTTATTTGTGCTGTACATTTGATTTAAGACATTTTTGTTCATTTGATTTTCAGTCTTCTTTTTATTTACTTGTTGAGTCACCAGAAACTAACACCAAAAGCAGATGAAAACATAAAACTCAGAGTGGAGGTGGAAAAAATGACAAACACTATTTTTCAATTTGATTTGCATAGAGTAAACGTGGGGATTTGTGCAACTCAAAATATGCAATGGCAGCACACTTCCTAGCTAAAATCTGTCAGAGGAGCAGTGTGCTTTAATTTCTGAAAGCATTAGAACATATTAAAACCCAGTCATCTTGTAAGTATATATGAAATAACTCACATTTGATTTGGTCTGTAATGTCTTGGTTTGCTTATGTAGAATTCATGGAGGCAAAGAAAGGTCACTCTGCACACAGTTCTCCCCTTATGTTACAATTTACAAAGTAATGCAGAAAGAATGAACTTTAGCTCTGTGTCTGTTAGTTTGTGAACTCACACTTTATATAAGCAGTTTGTGTAAAGTGTACTTGAATAGAAGAGAGCTAAAAATTCCAGCAATGGTAGTATATTACATAGTTGAATTTTTTTCAAAAATTTTTAGTTTCTTGAAGAAATTCTATACATTTTATGGATTTCTTCATGCACAGTTTTAAAAATTGCCATATTATGTAAAATGTTTGCTTTTTTGTTTAAAAAAGGTATATCAAAGTTGCTCTGCTTTTATTACATGAGGTCCTTAGTTACTGAAACAAAATGGCTTGGTAGTTAGCTACTAGTCTCAATCTTCTCATTGTGCACTGGCTATATAGATGTGAGTATTTAATAATCAGCATCTAATAACTGTACTTCGAATTGGTCTCCTGTGTTCTCTTTGCAGTTACAATGCTTTAATCTTGTAAGTAAAGTGATTAGGTGCTTGCAGTGATAGAGCTATATATGAAGTATATAATGTATCTCTTCTCTGGAGTAATTAAAAGGCTCTGGAGGGGTGTAAAACACGATGTAAAAAATGTATGTCACACAGGACAGGGAATAACATGAGTGAATTTTGGGTGCATGTTGAGGATGATCTCTTCTACTGTATTTCAGTGTGTGCCACTTCAGTCTAATGTATCATCTTTCTCCTGGATGACATGTGTAGCTGTGCAGTAAATGAGGCCTGAACAATCGAGTGACTCATTTTGTATATATGGACTGCATGTTTCAGAATGGCTGACGTGTACTTGTACCTGAGAGGAGAAAGGAAGCAGTCACTTCTTCATGGATGTGTTGTTTGGTTTCAGCATTTGGGAATTTTGACACTGTTGAGAGTATTTTGGGCTATACTGGCCAAAAACAGAGCTTCAGCTGCTGAGCATAGACAGCCCCAATTAAAACTAGGATGGAAAACTCATATTCCAATAAACATAATTTTGTCATGTTTAAAGATATTGGGATGACCTTTTTTTCCCGAAGTCAGGGCATCTTTGCGGTACGCTTAAGGAGAGAGGGAATAATTAATGTGTATTTAGTTAGTTATGTTAGTGATATTGGAATTATATATTGGAATTATATATTGGAATTATATATTGGAATTATATATTGGAATTATATATTGGAATTATATATTGGAATTATATATTGGAATTAATTATATATTGGAATTAATTATATATTGGAATTAATTATATATTGGAATTATATATTGGAATTATATATTGGAATTATATATTGGAATTATATATTGGAATTATATATTGGAATTATATATTGGAATTATATATTGGAATTATATATTGGAATTATATATTGGAATTATATATTGGAATTATATATTGGAATTATATATTGGAATTATATATTGGAATTATATATTGGAATTATATATTGGAATTATATATTGGAATTATAT